AATACCTCGATACATAAACTAATGAATTCTGAAAAATCGACAAGAAAATTTTTCTGTGAAGTGTGCAGATCAAAGCGAGATGTTGCAGTAAAATTACTAATAATTTTAAAACTACGCTAATACATTTATTATTCATCCTTAATGGATGGAACGCGAGATTGGGGAGATCAATCAAATCGGGACAAATTCTCCGGATGTCTCGGAACTTTTCTCCCTCAATATTTTTCGTGAGGAATTTCTGGAAGTCAATGAGGCATGTAGACAAGTTTTATTTATCTGTTCGATTTCAAAATTATTGTACCCACTTAGAAAGGAAGGAAGGCAAGAGAAATAAATCAGGATTTCTTTTTTTGAGAGGACTAAATTTATAAAGTTGTATTATCGATCATTTGTTCACAAATATCTATAGATTTCATTTTCTTTAAGTATTTATAGGTTTCTATTAATATTTTAGTAGTTAATATTTTAATAATTAAATAATAGTTCTAGTTATTTATGAATATTTTATTGTTTGTAGCTAGATATATCTACGGTATTTAGACATTACGTTTTCCTACAATAAATCTACCTTGTATACCTAAGAAGGTAATAAAAAAATAATAATGATATATGAACATTCTGATATATTATAAAAAGCCCTTTTATTCCCAAAGTCTTTTAGTTTTACCTTACATAAAAGCAAGATTTTATGAATATCCATTATACCGTTTTTTTTTTTTTCATTTTGAAGAAGCTATTCTGTCAGTCTGTCGGTGTTTTTCTGTCTCGAGGAGTAAATAAATCATTTTTCCGTGACATATTTTCCAGTTTCAGGCGAGCGACGTCTAAAAGCATCGCCCAAGAAAATTCCGTTCGAAACGACAATATCGATTTCTACTTTCATTTCATTGCTTACATTGAGAAACGCGTCTTAGACAAATACGCGTTCGACCGTTTTGTTCTCTACTTTTTTTTTCGTGGAAATTTTAGATTTCCATTATTCGGAATAGTCATCGTTAAATGGGAGAGAAAAGTTAATATTGTTTCAGTTGGGTATATTCAAACTCTATTCTATTTTTTTTGCTTAATCGAGTTGAATAACCAATATTTTTGTTAATTTCCAATTATTTCTTTTTACTTGTGTATCATGCAAAATTGGTAACAGATTCAATTACTAAAGTGAATGTTTTATTGTGTTGCAAAAAATGAGAAGTAAATACACTTTCTATACTTGTATACCGAATTGGAAATTCATTTGTATCTTGGAGTTTGCGAGCTTGTTTTACAATTTACAATACAATTGTAAAAAATCGCGTGTTTCTCTTCTATTATATTTGTTGTATTGTAAACCATTGAAAGTCGAGAAATAAACTCGCAATGTTTAGGTATTGTTGATTCTGTTCTTGACCAGCCAAGCTTTTTAAAAAGCAAAGCTTTATCGTAAATATCGTGCACTCGCCTTTAATGCAATGGTACTTTTTTTTTGTAATTAAAATTGCAAATCACAAAGTTTGACCAATTCCATTACGTTACAACGCAAATATTTAGACTTTATAATAACCACCCGTGGAAAACTTGTGGTTATTGTTAATCGTATAAGCATTTATTTTACTCTGCTGGAAAGTAAAGTTAGCATTAAAATCGACTTTAGTTAGCGGAAACTTGCCTTTGAATCTATTCTTACGACTATCTAGCGTGAAAATTACCAATTAGTCATTCATGCTACGCATTGCTTTCGAAGAACTTCGTATGTTAAGATAAATCGCATATAATAAAGCAACATTAAAGTTCTTTTTACGGTTTCTAAACGTTGGTTTAAATAACCTACTTACAGTTCGATACCATCGTCTTCTACAATGGTTATGCAGTTGCGACTTGCAACGATTTTGTAGGTTATGAACGCGTACTGAGATGCACTTTGTTTGTAGAAAATTACCTTATTCTCATGAGCTAATAAACAATTCGCCGGTTTTGTAGAATCGTTATTTCGAACGAAAGAATAGCATTTTTGTATTTTTCCTCCAACGATTCGCGTGCAACGAGGTGATGGTTTTATAAGAATACGAAGGGACAAAAGAATAGGTCTTTTGCACGACAAGAAATACATCGAATACGAAATATGAATTCGGCACAAATAATGTATGCACTATATTTGGTGCAGTTATTTATTGTCGTGCAAAATACCTATTTTGTCGTGCCCAAAATCCACACCCATGTTTTCGATTAAAAAAAAAATCGAAATATCTTGCAGTGTGCATTTGAAAAGCGTCCGAACTAGTTGAATCGAATTAGCGATTTCACCTCCATCTTTTCTCTTCACTCCATACCCGTAAGCTCGATAGAAAGTCTCGTTTTAATTTTATTACCATTATATCTTCATTTATTTGCATATTAGATGCCGTTTGTGACTTAACCGATTTAATTTCGAAACGCCTTAAAATATCGTTGAAATGCAGTGCTATCACAAAGTCTTATTGACCTCAAAAGTTTTGCAACAAAACTTGCATGAATGATATGAAAAAAAAATTAAGGTAAAATGTTTACCCCCATCCCTATAACTATACAGTTTCTATTCTATTCTAATGTGTATTAGATAACAAACTTTCTACTGTTAAATTATACAAAACATATTCTACCAAAGCATTCTTATCTAATTATAATAGGTCAACTGTTATTATATCAGCATTACAGTTGACTCTGAACTAGGATTTCAGGTAAACCTATTTTCCATCAGCGACCGATGATTGTTCGTCTTGTATATACTGCGCACTGATTGAACAAATCCCTTAAGCAGATTAAAACACATTAAGCCCTTTATGCTGCTAACAATAAGTTCTCTGAAAGGGCCAGAAAGGGTTCCCGTACGCCCGGCGAAAATAAAGTGATCAAATTACTCACGTGAAATTAATGTTGATAAGACGAGATATATCCCTGCGAAAGTTATTTCGGTCCCGACTGGAAACTCGAGAATTCGGGGAATTTGGGCGAATGTAAAAAAATCGAACGGGTGTATTAATTTGCAATAATTAAATAGTACTGGATGTGATTTGAGGAGTTGAGAATTAATACGTTTATATGGATAAAAACGGTGGGTTATATTCGACTCGCATTTACGGGGGTGTAGTAAAGTTTTGTCAATATTTTATTTTAGTATCTTCCCTACTTTACGATGAAAAACGTTGTGGGTTTTTTACGAGCGATTTCCATATCCTGCGCTCATATTTTTTTACTATCATTATAAAGCGGTTTCGTTAAATTGATGTTTCATAACTTTAAAGTGAAAAATACCACTAGCATTATTCGCAGAATGAAAAGTTTTATTATGGTAATACACCAGTCTTGTTTATAATAATTAATGCGATACAATTCGCTAAAGCAACTATAGGAAAAGTCGTGATGGAGTTATTATAAATCAACCTTGATTTTTCACAATAACTTTCCGAACCCATTGAAATAGCGCTGTTGGAATGATACACCCGAACAGATAAAAAATCGCCGCTCTTTTAAATCCGGCGAAAAGGACCTTCTTTCGTACGCGAGCACGTTCGAACCTGGGCTCGGTCGAAAAGGTCCGAAATTTCAATTAACGAATGGAATCCTCTCTTCCCCGTGCGGTTTCGAATTTCCACTTTCATTTCCCTGGAAATCCGCCGGCGGATTTGCCGGCGTGACACGACGGTGTACAAACTCCTCACCTGGCCCGTGCCTCGGAGGCGACGCGGCGGCTAATAGAAGACGATCTACCAGCGTCGCGACGCCGAAAATGTCGCGGCGCCCTCGGAAAATCCGTCGGAAAAGGTTCAAACCGGATTGATTAGGATTGGAAGATCCCAGAGTGTTTTTTGTGGTGGTTTTTACGTAGGGTAATTTATGCGGGTTCGGGTGAAATTCCCGTCGTAAACGTGAAGGTTGAAAATGCGCGTTTTTGATCCAGTAATTTTTGATTTTTGTCGAATTTTTTACTAAGTAAAAGGTTTTGAAAACGTTAAGGTTAATAGTTTTTGAATAATAAGTTGACATACTTTTTCTGCATAACCTGTATAATGGTTTGAAATTTTGTAATATTGTAGATACTATATTTGGAAAGAGCCTCCATAACTTACTCCTACAAATTTTCATAAAAATAACTTGCATACTTTTCCATGTATAGGTAGTTTAAGGTCGTCTTGAGAAAACTATTTTAATATAAAATATATTGAAAAATAAATTTTTGACTGATAAATTTTCATTCAGGAATGATCGAATTTCATTTAGAGCCGTGTATATAAAATATAGGGAGAAAACTGAGATAATAAATGCGTCCGAAAAATCTGATTTTCCGCCTGAATTCATCTCGTAATCGCCTGTAACAACGCCCTTGATTTGATAAGCGGAATTCTTGTCGGTTTAATAACATAGCCCGCGGGTTTTCGGCATTGCCGTTTACGCTGTTTTAACTTTGACATTCTATTACATCGTATCTACAGCTTCATCTCGAAAACACCGTCTTTTATGCAAAAATTACGTCTCTTTCTTCTACCGCTTTCAGATGTGTCATCCACGGTTTAAATATCATTTACTTTGTTAATTTATAAATATGATTTACAGTTACAATAACTCGCTCCGTTAGTCACGATTATTATTACTTACTATCAAGACACAAGTGCAAATCAGGAACCAAAATATCCTATTTATAAAATAAAATCATTCTCTGAATAAAAAAAACCGAAACAATTTGCATATCTCTAGCTGTTACGGGATCGCTTTATTACCTACAATTTTGTAATATTAAATAAACGTTGTAAATTAAGTAACGAATTTTTGAGATTTCTATTTTCGAAGCGGGCAAATCGAATATGGAGTGATTCGATGATTGAATCCATCGTACTAATGCGTAGAGCAAATAAATCGATTGTGATTTCGGCAGATGAGATTATCGATTATGAAAAATGTTTGATTGATTAACCGGATTTGGGAACTCGCATTACCTCGAATAAAAAATCGTTGCATGTAGCCTGGACTTGGTGAAAAATTTGGAAATTATGTACCGGCGAAACAGTGTCAGCGGAGGATTGTTTCACGTAATTAGCCGGATAGCGATCGTTCTATAATATTTATGATTCATGACGAAATTAAGAAACACAAGCGGCCATTGTGTTGGACTTGCAGCGAATTGTACAAGTTATTTCAGGCAAGTGCGTTCTTTGTTCGACGGAAAAAAAGGCACGTTCGTATTAGCCTAGATAGAAAAACTTTTCTTTTAATTTATTTCGCGATTAATAATAATAAATAACGAGCATTTCGAATCGATGCGTACCGCATCATTAAAACGTGCATTAATCGAACAAAGAGGTCTCGTTAAGGACTATCTAATAGTTTAGAAAAAATAACTATTACTCATGAAAATATCTACACAAAGGGTTTATGTATTTTATCGAAAAATTCATAAGAACTCTAAGACTTGTTTAAATCGATTTGCCTAACGAGAACCAAGCTCGCTTTCGCTCGAACCATCGCGGTCATTATTAGAAGATCCCTAAAATTAGACCCCAAGTAACGAAATTCCCTCATCACGTTGATTAGTAGACCCGATAGAATTACACATAATTGCAAACGAACAACCTTACCCGGATCCTTTTTCATTATTTGAAAGCGTAAAAATGAAATGGTAATACTTAAATTTAGTGTTACTAGCCGAACATTTAATTTTGTTTTACCGTAAAAATGAAATATTCAAGTGCATAAATTCAATCTTCTACAGTTTCGAACAGTAGAAAACGAATAAAAGTTGTTATGCAAATGAGTTCTCATCTTGCGGAAGTGGCTCACTATCTTATATAACTGTTGTCCCAATGAACTTGAGGAGATGAGGTCATTACCACAAGTTTGTATATATATTTTTTTTTATTTTAAGAAAGAAGCCGGACCAGTTTTTGTAATAATTTATTTCACTGATACGTCGTTAATACGGAATTTTAAAAGTCCACCTACTTTTTCCATAAATTAAAGAGTCTCTTCCATTTTCGAAGGCTCGAAAGTCGGTCAGGCGGTTGGCGAATAAAGGCCTATTTTGCATGAAATTGGAGACCACAACTTCGAAGAAAAAAAAGGTCACAGGCGCAAGGATAAAGTAGACCCTACAACTGCTTATTAATCTCTCGGTTTGGTCCTTATAGACTCTTTAAATATTATGATTTTTACACCTCTTAGGTCGTGTAAATTTCCCGCGACATTGTTAGCAAATGCACCTGATTTTGGGCGAACAAGACCATTTTCTCATGAACCGAATAACCGAATGGTTTGAATGTTTTTTTTTAACAGTACCGGGCTGCTGACCTAACGGTACCGCGACCGCGAAGACGCGCTTCCTCGCGATCGCGGGGCGTTGACACTCGATCCTAAATTGTGTGTGTGTGTAAAGTTTTTGCGGACGTTCCATTGGTCAACCTCGGGCGCTCTTTAGTGGGACACGATTCCGAAAGAACCGTACGAGAAAGGTGGACTAACTGTTCGACGGGAATATAAAGTAGAAAGTATCGTTATGCTATAAATCCATTAAGGCGATCTATAAACGTACGGTTTATTAAAATGGACGTTTTGTATTTTCTTAACGAAACGATAACCGGGCGGTTTTTATTGATGAAATGCGTTGGAATGCCGTTTTGATATTTTTTATTAGATGTCGAGTTAATGACACGAGCTACCTATTTGATAATTGGATTTTTACTGATGGACCTATTGGATCTGATGGATCTATTGGAACTGATGGATCTATTAGATCTGATGGACCTATTAGATCTGATGGATCTATTGGATCTGATGGATCTATTGGAACTGATGGATCTATTGGATCTGATGGATCTATTGGATCTGATGGATCTATTGGAACTGATGGATCTATTGGATCTGATGGACCTATTAGAGCTGATGGACTTGATGGACCTATTGGAACTGATGGACCTTTTGTCTAAAAAATATTTTATATGTGATCCAATATAACTTAAACAGAGGATACATACAATGCTTTGGTCTACGTTAATACAGTTTCATGGTAGCATTTCATTTTCCTTCTTACGAATTCGAGTCTAATTTCTATAGTAGTTTAGTAACACTACTGATTCTACAAGCTCTCTACTGAAGACCAACTAATCACCCTTTGAACATCTAACTAATCTGCCTTTTTGTTTTGCAGCAACTCTTCCGATCTCAGCAGTCGCAGGCGGCGACGCCGAGCGCCGCGCAACTGCAATTGCTGCAACAGCAGCAGCAACAGTACTTGGCGCAGCAACAGCAGGCGGCCGCCGCGTTTCCGCAACCGCCTTACCTCGTCAATCCCCAACAGGAACCGTATCTGATTACGGCCGGCGTGCCGGCGCAGTACTATGGCGTCGGGCCGTGGGTCTATCCGGCGCCGCCGGCCAATCTCATCCAGCAGGGCGCCAGCAACGGCGCCAGGAGGCCGCTCACGCCGAACGGAACGACCGAAGCGCAACAGCAAGTACAGGTAATTGGGGATTTTTTTCGTTTATTTCTTCTTCGATTAGGTACTTATATTCGAAAATTATTGGAGCGTATATGAAGAATCTTTGATGATGAACAAGTTCAGTTGGGGGTAAATGAAGTGTATGATGAATTGATTTGGGGAGGAACGGTTACGTTATTTTTAGAATTGCCCACCTCTAGTATAACATAATTTTTACTATCTAATACTTATTTTTAGTGGTGGGTTGTTCGATAAGTAACAGGTTATAATGATGAACTGTCTGTACAAATTAAAATAAGGGAGTAAATAAATTGTGGGGAAACGAATTGATTGTAAATAAATTGTAATAAAGAAAATTTTAATTCGTTGTAAATTGGAAATGCCTTTCGTGTACAAATGAAAACATTATGTGGCAACAAAAAAAAAAACATTGGAATTAATCGGAATATAATAATACTAATCGTATATTAATAGAAAAATAACGACCCGCAACCACTCGTTGGTATAGTTTTGTTTTTATTTATTTCCACCAAATAACAACTGTAACAGATGTAGATAAAAATGATTACTTTTTTTTTGGACTGATGATTACTGGAACTTTTCAAGGTTAATTATGATCATATTGATCGGTTGATGCCGTTTTGATATTGACACATTCCGCGTATATTTGTACAGTTGCTAGAATTAAATTGTTTTATTGAATTAACGCAACAATCTTGCAAACGATAAATTAAGTTATCCTATTTCTGTATCAACGCTCTCAACCTGTTTACATTCATTACTTCTTAGTCTTAGCATCTCATTTTCCACATATATCTCAATTACTATTATGTAAATTTAATTGCATAAGACAGCTTTCCACAAGCATTATATTTTGTACGTACATTCCCCAATCTTCACCCTCCAAAAATACACCGATCTTATAGAACAATTAGGAAATGTAAATTATCGAAGACATGTATAAACCAAAAAAAAAAGAAGAAAAAACAACCTGTATATACCTGAATTGTGTTCGCGTTTTTCCAGCCGCAAGTACCGGGAGGATACATAGTGCCCTACTACGATCAGAACGCCGCTCCCATCCTGATGGCGCAGGGGGCGGCGGCCATGCGCAACGGCACGCCGATGCGCCTCGTGTCGCCGGCGCCGGTGCTCGTCCAGCCGCAGGCGGCCGCCGCGGCCGCCACCAGGCAGACGCAGGCGGCGGCGGCGGCGCACGCGGCCGCCGCTTCGCTTTATTCCAGCACGCAGCAGAGCCTCTACGGCGCCGCCAACGTCAATACGAGCGTCAACGGGACGACGCTGGGAGGTAGGTTTAGGTTTTTTTTTTATTTTTTTGCTCCTACTCGTTTTAGCGATGTAATAGAACGGCGCGTTTCGATGCGATTCGCGACGCGCCGTGTGAGATGGCCCTTAAAAAAATATTTGTGTGGATTACGGTACTGTATTTCTAAGGTCTGGAATCGTGGGACGAAAAAGTGTCGCGTTATTTGAGGATAAAACAGGGTTCCTAAGACCACGGTTTTTTACTAACGAATTTTGTAGAATTAGCATTAAGAAAGGTTATATTCAAACTAACAATAGACACAAAATATAAAAATTTACCTAAATCAGCGATGATTTTGTTGTTAACATCATTCCTCGCGTATCTTCGGTTAATGTATTTCTCTATTTTCTCCTCGAAATGTCATAAAATAATTTTTGCCAGTTTTGACAGCTTGAACTGTCATCTTACAACACAACCGCGATTTATATGTAGCGCGACGCTGATTGGTTGAGATAAGTTGGTCCTCCGATCGTTCGCCACGGTGCGGCGAAAAAGTGAAGCTTAAAAAGTCCTCAAATAACGGGACACATTCTATAATGCATAAACATAGGGAGATGCCAGACCTTAGAAATATTGGACCGTGGTGTGGATGAAGATTGAAGTTTTGATGGATGGGAAATGGCGTTTATATGTTTAGCTTTGGTCATCGCGGTTTAATATATTAAGCTTCCGATCCAATAATTTTGCAGTAAAAATAATGTTTTGAGATGAATAAAATATAGAAATTCAGATTCTTTGAAAGGTCGCATTAAAGTGGGTTTCCAGAAATTTTATTGTATGTTTGAGTGTATTAATTTAAAGGAACTTCATATTTTTTAAGGGCCATCTGACAAATTTTGTATATATTACATAAGTATACATCATTATTAACTCTTTAACTTTATTTCCAAGAAATGAGAATATGTTTTATATGGGCATTTTAATATTTTGATAACTGTACAGAATTTAAAATTTGTATGATAAGTAGATTCGAATATAAAACAAAAAAAGGCTTTATGGAATATTTGATTATTTATAATTGTAGATTTTTTTGTGTATATAATTGAATTACAATCACTAATTGATGTTTTTCGTTATGTAAAAGATTGTAAATATTGATTTTTCTCAGTTTTATTCTAACAATCTCTTTTTTGATCTATATATACTTCTTTAGCGGCGCCAGCGTTGTATATAAATTCTCAATTCTTAGAAATACATAAATTCACATTTTTGTTTTCATATTTATTCACACGATAAAGAATCGCGCGCTTTTACACCGCGAAAAACGAGTTACTCGATTTCTCGATTTCCCGTTTCCACTTCCTTTTTAAAACTCACTAAAATTCGCTCAATTCGCCATATTCTTTATCGTATGAACGTGGCACAAAAAAAATATCTTAACCAAATCTGCCGGTGTGTAATACTAACTTGCAATATCTCGGTGTGTGCGGGAATAGGTGTTGCCCAAGGTGTGGGTTCTGGCCTGTTTCAAACATTACACGCCGCTCCACCGTCCGGTCCATTCGGTAGCTCATCACTGGGGAATATCGGATCATCCGCTACCACGACATCATTGCATACAGGTATGGCCCAAACCAACAAAAAAAAAAATCATCATCACTTAAAAGAAACATTCTAAATACTAGCGCGAGTGTGTGTTTATAAGCTACTTGTGTTGCGGTGCAAATAAATCGTTGTAAATTTTGTACACTTGTAAAAAAAATGGAGTTGTTTTTAACGTATGATGCTATAATGTAATGTTTTGTGGTAGATAACCTGACGGGCCTGGGTTTGACGACGACGACGACGGCCAGAAGGGACTCGTTCGATCGCAACACCTCGGCGTTCTCGCCGTCGCTGGAGTACCGGCAAAAGTGGCCGACGTCGTACAACATCGGCAGCAGCCCGAGCCCGCTGACGGGCAGCCTGACGCCGCCGCCGGCCGGGCCGCTGCAACTGGGCGGGCTAGTGAATTCGAGGGTGCTGTCGGCGGCGCCGGGCGCCGAGGCGAAATACAGGAATTCCGTCGCCGCCGCCGGTCTGAACGCCACGGCCATCTTCGGTTCGACCAACAGCCTGTTCACCAAGATCAATTCGACGCTGACCGCCGTGCCGGCGGCGTTGGACAAGGGTCCGCAGGGCCGGTCGCGGTTGCTCGAAGACTTTAGAAACAACCGGTATCCCAATTTGCAACTGAGGGATTTGGCCAATCACATCGTGGAGTTCTCCCAAGACCAGCACGGTTCGAGGTTCATCCAGCAGAAATTGGAGAGGGCCACCGCCACCGAGAAGCAAATGGTCTTCAACGAGATCCTATCGGCCGCTTATAATTTGATGACGGACGTGTTCGGCAATTACGTTATACAGAAGTTCTTCGAATTCGGCACGCCCGAACAGAAGACTACGTTAGCCCAAAAAGTACGACCATCCATTTTCTATATCTGTAATTTTATTAATTCGCCTAATTATTTCGTTAGGTTCGCGGTAACGTTCTACCATTGGCTCTACAAATGTACGGTTGTCGCGTCATACAGAAGGCTCTGGAGTCGATTCCGCCGGAACAACAGCAGGAAATCGTCAGGGAACTCGACGGGCACGTTTTGAAGTGCGTCAAAGATCAAAACGGCAATCACGTCGTGCAGAAGTGCATCGAATGCGTCGATCCTAACGCGCTACAGGTAAAAAGAATTCTCTATTTTCTACATTGTAGGTAATACTAAAACGCGTTATTATTTCCAGTTTATCATATCGTCGTTCTCCGGACAAGTGTACACTTTGTCTACGCATCCCTACGGTTGCAGAGTCATCCAACGTATATTGGAGCATTGCACGCCCGAACAGACTGCTCCCATTTTGGCGGAATTGCACCAACACACCGATCAGTTGATACAGGATCAATTCGGAAACTACGTTATCCAACATGTACTTGGTAAGGAAATATTCAAAAACTAACGAACGGATTTTATTAATAATAGCGCGGTAGTCGATTATGGGTCGTGTTTGTACCGGTAAAAATAGTGATAATTGAAAGTAGAATCTTTTTATTTAGAACACGGCAAACCGGAGGACAAGTCTCAATTGATCAACAGCGTTAGAGGCAAGGTGTTGGTGCTGAGCCAGCACAAATTCGCCAGTAACGTCGTGGAGAAGTGCGTGACGCACGCCACACGAGCCGAAAGGGCTTTGCTCATCGAGGAAGTGTGCGGCTTTAACGATAAGTAAGTGTTGGGAATTTCACTATCTCTAGCTCAAATTTACGTCTGAAGAGATTGGTCGAGATTGGTATTTTTAGTGGCTGCGGATTTCAGTGAAAAAACTCGCGTTAATTTACTATCCGTAGAATTTTAGAACGTGGGACAATAAAAACGAAGTTTCACAAGAAAATAAACTTTACATCTAATTCTCGCCGAAGCCCTTAATAATAATTCACTATTAAAACCAACCGATCATTACAATATCTCAAGATATAAACGAATGTACATGTTCTCGTTTAGAACAATGGAGTCTTTTCTTACCCTTAATAACAATTTCAAAAATGTCTCCTTTTTCCAACGGTCGTTTTCGGACGTTTGTTTTTTTTGACAACTGACAATTAAAACTTGCGTTCGTTTGACGTTCCGCTATGACAGATTGGAAAAAGTGCACAATTAGAGAAAATCTTACGTGTCAATACAATTAAAAATAGAAGAATTTGACAATTATACGTCATATGTCAAAACTATTTACTTCCCATAGAAATTAATGTAGAATCCCGAAAACGGCAAATGTTTAAATAAATGCCTAACTAGTAGAGGATCGGCGTAATTATTTTTACTTGATCCAATTTCGAACAACGTCTGTTCGTATCTCATTCTCATCCGTTTTTCAGCGCTTTGCATGTGATGATGAAAGATCAGTACGCGAACTACGTGGTGCAGAAGATGATCGACGTGAGCGAGCCGACGCAACGGAAGGTGCTGATGCACAAAATCCGACCGCATTTGAACTCGTTGAGGAAGTACACGTACGGGAAGCACATCATCGCGAAATTGGAGAAGTACTTTATGAAAGCGCCCGGATCGCTTGGCTCCATCGGAGGGGAGCTCGGTCCCATCGGCCCTCCGACCAACGGAGTGTTGTAATTTTCTCTTCGACGTTCTCTTGCGTTACGCTAACGTTGTTTATTTTTTTTTTTTAATTTCTAATTGATTCCAGTATTTTTTGAAGTTATGAATACGTTTTTTTTTTCCTTTTATTTTTCGTACACTACTGTGCTAGTGATTTATTTCTTGTAATTTTTTTATCATGATTTTTTTTTTTCATTTTTTTAAGGTTAGTAGTAATAGTTAAGGTTTATCATGTAAACATAATATATTGTATTATAATTGTAATTTATGTAATTTGACTTTCTTTGCGTTGATTGGCTTTTTTTGACAATTTTTGTAGATTATAGTTGATTTTTTTTTAATAATCATTAGTTTTTCTTGAGCCATGATGTATGTATTGGTTTGTGAGTCTTGACTTTAGTTTTCATCATATTCTTAGCGATTTGGATTAATTTAGGAAAAAAGACAAGCAATTTTACAAGCAGCGTGCATGTTCATTTTTGTCTCCTTATGGAAATTATTCCAAAATTATTGAATCTCAAATTTTTCTTCTATATAATAAATAATACAAATTGAACGGATTTGTATATAAGTGTTTTTTCGAGTACGTAATAACAAAAATTTGTTCTGATATATTAATAATTTGAGTTGGAAATTTTAAATTTTCTAGATTTGCAAAATTTTTAAAAACACGCGAGGATAATATTGGTTTCGAAATCGAATTTCTGGTTACATTTGGCTTGAATTATTAATATTTGTTATTCGAACAATTTACATTTATCTTTGACAGTAAGTTAATTATTGTGATACAGTCCTCAGGAAATAGACTTGAACATCATAAGAATTCATCCAAATCAAAAAAAAAAATAAAAAATAATTTTTTTCGAGCACCGCACGTGTCATCAAAACGCATGCTTGTTCTTTTTTGTCGTTTTCGAAAGGTTTCAAAAAAATGAGCTCCACTGAAAATTTCGCAATTTTTTTGACGCCTTTTTTAGGTAAATTATTGATGTCGACTTAATATAACTGGCGATTTGCATTTATATTTAGGACATAAGGGTTTTTATCATTAACTTAGACGTTTTTTTTTTAGATAAACCGGCCTGCGGCTTTTGGTAGATTTCCGAATTGCCCTTTGCGCGTATTTCTATGGTTTTGATAAACTAAACAATTCTCATTTAGTCCTATTTATTTTAATCAAACATTTTAAAATTCATTAAAAACGTAACCGAATTACATCTAATCTATAGGCTAACATTACGAGGCCCTGTAAATATTTTAAACACTCCCATAAAACCTTCGAAAGGACTAAATGATTTGTTTCTTTCAAAGCCCGATTATATTTGTAAAATATGTTCATTCGTCAAAAAAAGAAATATTCAGAGATATATTTATTGAGTTGTTCAAATTAATTGTGTAAAAATGAATAGAATTTTTATCGAATTGTATAATAATAAAAAACCCTATAATGTAAATATAATTTGTAAAAATTGTATAATTTCGTGTATAGAATGCAACGGGCCGTTCTCGAATCTACCGGAATGTCGTTGGCCCGTCTAGATCGTTCGGGAAAAGTTCGAATAAAAAGAAAATCCCTTTTAGTAACGTTACGCTGTTTAAACGGTAGGAAAGTATTAAACAAAATGTAGAACTTGATGGCACTCTTTTCGTTTTTACGAACTTTAATAATCATGTATAAATTTTGCAAATTCCATTTTTACTATTAATAATTGATCAATGTTCTATGGGAAGCCGAGACGTTCCGAATTTAATGTCATTTTCATTATTTTTTTTTTTGGCGAACCCGACAGATAGAGCCCATTAGGTGTATAATAAAATAAAATAAACTTTATCGGATTGTTTAGGTGAAATTTAGAGAATTAAACGTGATACATAGTACTTATAGCGTGATAGGCTGAATATTTTAGAGAGATTTCGGTTCGCTCGGGGGTCTTAGAAATTATTTCGAATTAAATCAAAGAGGCTTGAAATACGACATTAAATCGCAATCGAATCAAAACGATCGAACGTCTCGCATATGTAACTGCATTTATGACTATTTTTGTGTTTAAGAGTAACTAGAAATAACCATATTTGTATCATCGAGTCGTTATTCACCATTAACTATTAACATATTTATAGATGACACACATAAAGGGAATATCTTACTCACACCGACAACGCAAATTTAGTTAGTATTTTTGAGGCAACGTTTTATTTGTTGGATTAATTCGTGTAGAATTTGACTTTAGTTGATAACTAGAATGTAGCTAATTTGTGTTCTTCTGTTCGAAATCTGAAATTATTAGACTTGAATTTACATGTTTAGAGTAACAAAGAGTACCTCTTGTTGAGGCAAATCTCTGTCATACAAGGGATAGGAAATTTTTGAAATGCATTGTTGGTAGGTGTGTAAGAATATCCCTAGCCATACCCAGCATTCGAGAAAAACCAGCGTATATTCAGTCATCTTTGGTACGTGTACGTAGGCTTACCGAATTTTGTATTATATTGTAATATAGTTTCGTTCGTAACATTTCCAAATATATTAAAAAAAATAGCCAGTCTTCAATATATCCGCCATTCGAAGGTAAATCAAAGGTAACTTGTACACTTATTGAGGATAACTGCGCGGCATTTTAATAAAAAAAAAGGACACCTACTTATATCCCCCCCTCACTCTGCTAGTGATATGTATATATTTATATAATTACTATGATAAAAAGGATTTTATGTGTTGAAAAAAAAACATTCTTGACTTGTATCGCATGTATTGTATTTATATAGATGAAAAAAATAACGATGTTTAATAGTGTAATAATGTAAGATATCAATTTTGTACTTAGAAATTATTTGTATTTTGTAACTTTAACCATACGAATTAACTGAGCGGCGACATTTTCGACTTGCAGTTTTCTTTGAATAAAACCAAGCGTTCAATCAATCAATCAATCATTCGTTATTTACAACAAAGAGTGCTAAATTGTCCTAAACAGAACAAATGTTAGTACCTTTTTTTGGAAATCCAATCAATCAATATTCGAACAATTTCATATTTACGTTTGATCGAAACTGTCTCGCAGAAAATGAAACCGCTCGCATATAAAAAAAAGAGAACAGTGCGGAGGGGAGTAAACAGTAAGATGGCCAATTTCTTTGAAGATGGCAGACTGATGTAAAGAATACTAAAACAATGATGTAAAGTGTAAATTCCGTTTTGGTTTTCACGTTGTAAAACTGTATAATACATGTGTAAAAATGTGAGCCGTACAGGTGTCATGTAATTAAAAAAAATTGTAAACTATTGTATTTCTAAAAAAAAAACATTTGGAACAGTCTGTTTCATTGTACTTTGAGAGGCGGGCGTCGCGACGCCCGCGCCCGCTTTGTAGGGTAGCTGGATGGGGATCACATGCGCTCCGAGTTTCTCGCGAGGAATTTCAAACCCAACGACTCGACCTCTATTCAACACCAAACTCGCCGAATTCTTCAATTTTCGTTTATCTCGCTGTTAAATTTTATTACAAAAAAATTCACCGCCTAACTTACAGTTCCGATGCGAGTACTCGACGGTTCTGAACCGAACGGTTTGTTGGTACCTGGAACTGTTCTTGTGGATTATTCGCGAATGATTTTTTTTGTTTGTTCTAATCGGGTGAAGGGGTTATTACGGGAATTCGATTAATTTTTGATACTTTGAGTTCGATTTCAGTTTGGGTGGCGGTCGTTTCGATTGGCTGGTTTGCCGTGTTGTCGAGGTCGATTGTCGTCTTAGGGGCACAAGCTCGGAGAATTCAAGTTCACAACTGTAATATGGCTCTCTGCGATACGGCTGTATATTATATTTATTACGCGATCTGTTTAATGAATGTGTAAATTTAGTTGTCAAGAATGCATGCTAGTTTTATTAGGATAATGTATCCGATAATATGTATAAAAATGTATTTCGATTTTATTATTTTTTACCACGGTAGTAATAAAAAGTAATTCGATTTTTTCCGCTTGTTACGGTTTTTTTTAGGTCGAATTTCGGAAACGATTTCTTTCAAGACTTCGCGAAAATATGGGAATTTTCGATTTTTAATTTATACGTGGCTATTTTTTACTTTTTTAAGCAAATTTAGGCGGTTAAATTTTACCTAGGCTTACGAAAAAGAAACGCCTTGTTTTTGCCGTTTGACCTAAAAAAAAGTTTTTCTATATAAACCATTTTTATGATAGAGCTTTTTCTTTTAATTCTTTTTTTGATTAGCAAATGTTGGGATTATCATTATCCCTAGGGCTAGACTGTTCGATATTGATTCACAAATAAATGTAACATGAAAAATATAATATCTTTTAATAAACCACCATTCCACGAATTCTAAAAGAATTACTAACTGTTAAAAAATTCCCAAAAATATGAAGAAAGGAAAAATATAAGGAAAGTAAGTAGGAGAGAATGAAAATATATTTAGCAAAAACCTGATATGAATATAAACGAATCTGTTATTTAATGAATAATAACTAGAATAAATTTAATTTATAGATTATATTAGGTGTAAGTCAAGATCGTTCGAATTTGACAAATTTCTTTTTTTATCAAAATTGTACCGAATATTATATAAATTAATGCTACACTAAGGCTTCGAATATTGTTTAAACAGAATGCTTTTCGTTGACACCTAATATTAGTAATAAAATTGGTTCTGCGCATAAAAAACAAATGTGATGGAATAAATTTAAACAATAAATATATAAAACGTTACAATATGTCGTGTAAAATGTCCAAATAAATTGGTATTGTTATTTTTTTTTCTCATGACCAAACAAATAGGCACTTTGGTCTGCATTGCTTACTACTAAACAGTAAAAAATCTAGAAACTTTTGTGGATTCAAATAACAAATAAAATTTACAAGACAAAAATACACACAGAGTCCACTTCTATCGTATAGGTATATACAACAAATAAAAAAAAATATTACATACTAAGCCTACCTAACATTCAAAATCAGTACGATTAAAAATATACCTTAAGTCTGTCCCTCCAAGAATTTTGATAAAATCGTCGCCTAAATATTACATACAGCTCGACAGAAATAGCTGTAGACGCGACCTGCGCGATTTCCTACCGATATACAAATGTTACAAACTATTCCGCGTCTCTCATCCACAGCTATCCCTACCGATCTGTAGGTATTCCCGAAAAAAAAACCACGCGATCTAGTTTATCCTAACATTCTCCTCAATTGTATCGATTGTTGCACCTTCATCGCTAAAATAAATACAAAAAATTTCCAGGAGAAACCGATTGAATTCAATTATCCAACAAATTTCGACGTAGCACCAATTTATTCAATACAGTCAATAGCGTTTGCGAACTAACATCAGCAACCGTCCGACGAAACGAAAAAAAAAAAACAAAATTAGTCTCTATAATAAAAATCACTGGAAAATATTTCCGTACGTCACAATGTCCGTCAAAATCCACTGTTAATAACAAACCCCCCCGCGCGCCCCCTTACGAGCGACAGGCGGAACTACAACGCGCCTAAATCTCGGCTTAAGATCTTTAAGAATCACAATAATTTTCTGGAAGACACGAAATTCGTTGGGTTGAGCTTGCACTAGATAGGATTAAGAGCTTTAAAGTACTTTAAAGATGCTTCAAAAAGCACCTAGTCCAATGTTATCCGGTGCAAATACTAACTTTTATTTGGGGATATCAAATTTATATTCCGCAGAAATACATTTGTGCATTGAAACGAGTGAAGGTGCACTAAAATAAGCCATTTATGGTTAAGAGACAATTAAAATTATTGCGAATGTAACTCATAACAAATTTGAACTATCGGATTAGTTCAGCTAAAGAACTGAACCAGCAGTCATTAGGTATTGTGCAATATTTTTAGAGCAATAGATGTTTCCTCTCGAGACAAGAAAATTACATTGATGTACGAATTGTTTGAAATTTTGGTTCGATTTTCAATTCAATTGCCAGAAATTTGTCGTTAACTAATAAAAATTTTAAATCAGTCTGTACACAACACGTTAAATTAAAATTGCACTGAGACGTGTGTTGTACTCATTTTTTTATAGGCGAATTATTCTTAAAAATATTAAGCCTTCGTTACAAAACAAAAAAAAAATGGTGAAATAAAATATTCTAGAGAAGCGATTTTCTTTGAGAGTGCAGTGGACTCTGTGCTTCTTCACCTAATTTAAGAAACCTAAACGTTACTTGCTTACGATCTGTAGAAAAATAGGAGCGAAATTTCAAAAAAAATCAACAACAGAAATCATAAAATCGTAACAATTTGTCCACCGATAGGGATTTTTATACTCAATTTCGAATGCATAACGTAAAAATTGCAATCAATAGAATAAATACAACAATCGAAAAAACTACCCTGTAATTGTATTGTCCAAAATTTCTCAAATTACTAAAGCCCGGTATACACATTACCGATAAACCCCAATTTATCCCCAAGATAACTCTATTACCTCCAGACAAACTCCGGATAATTATCTACCTATAACAGTAGATTATCACTAAAATTAAACAAAAAAAAGTTATCTTACCGATAAATTCACCTATCCAAAACACCGGTCCTTAGAAGAAACAAAAATGGCGTCGTAACTCATTTCAAATTTTGCGAACAGTGATGCCAACTTTAAAATCCCTTTTCGAAATATCCCAACGAAAAAAAAAAACAACCCGACAATCCAAAGAGGGACGTTAAACCGAATCTTATCGCACACTTTTTCGAATCCACATCAAGTTTACGCGTTTCGTAAGCACGCCGTATTTTTCTACAAACCGATCGACATCTTTTAAGTGTAATTTGTACAAAGGTGAGCAAAAGGTTACTGTTTATATGAAAGGAAATCATAGTCGAAGAGATCCGCCAAGCCTTCTGTCGCGTCTAAATTGAAGTTGTACTCGAGCTGCATGAGCGGCTCCAACTGGACGAGTTCGCTGCATAAAAAAGGATCTGGAAAAAATCGACAATTCGCTCGAATTAATAAAACAAAATTGACAGGTGTCATAAAAATTTTTAAACTCGTACGAGCCTAAGTTCACGTCGAAGTTTCACAGAATTTGACAAACCATTGACAGTTTGACGTTTCAGTGACGTATCATGGCTGTCTAGTTAAAATGAATTTTGTGAAGAATCTATTCCGGCCAATACAAGGTAGTGTATTAGAAACTAGTTCATTTTCAACAATATTAAAAATATTTTAAAACAACTATTAATCGATTCTTTAATCGATAATTAAGAAAAACTCTACATTCATAAATATTCGCATCCGTCATTTTGTCGACACGTTTGACATTGACAACCAACTGTCATTTTGCACCAAAATAGCAAAAAAAAACTTGATTTTCATTAACTTATAGTACAAAAACCTTTTATTATCCTATATCGAACCTACGATGAAAACATTCCTAATATATTCCCAATTTCATCTTTTTACACACTAACAAAATTAGACATTTACAACGGATGTTAATGGATTAAAAAGCGAATACAGCACCGTAAGCATTTAAGCAGAAAGGTTAGTCGTAATACCCCATAAAGTGAGCTGAATCCCATGGTGCTACGCCCCTAAAGCAGCCCGCATAAGATTCAGCACACCTTAAGGGGGCAAGCAGTCCAAACCGAAAGCGAAACGCTCACAAATCACATAAAAAAGGAACCGTATTATGTACAAAACGAAACGTACAAAAGGACCAGTAAAGATGTTGCGAGTTAATTAAGATTAAGTTAGTTTTAGAGTAAGTATTGGAATTACCGGCCCTAAAATTGGATCCCGATTCTAACAGGAATTGGTAATAATCGTGTGGCTTTACAGGAAATCCGCACCAGTGGTTTGAATAACCGCATAGCTAGAACTCTGCCTGTGATGTGAATAGGAATGAAACACAGGTCACAGATAGAGCTCAGGAACGCAATTATTATCTAAAACACACCGAATAAAATTTAATTAAGCGCTTATTAACATTGCAACGATTTTGTACAACCGACTGTTGAAATTTCTCTCTTGAAAATTGTTACAAGAGACATTTTCGATGGAGTTTCACAGCGGTAAAATGAGAAATTATTAACACACAGGACAGACACAACGAAATGTAAGCGTGCAAAAGGAGTACTAATTATTAATCACAATAAAACGGTAGTTTATAAAAGCAGTTATTGATACAATTAAAAACATGCTAAAGCTATTGGAACTTTCTTTCATCAAATTCTCAGCGATCGATTTAGAACAATTCCCCAATACAGTGTTGCCAAATAGATGGATTTTTCCGTTTCGAGGATACTTTCGACGCTCCCGACGAAGCTCCACCCGGACTTACCTAAGTTATTAAATTCAGTCTGTGAGTTGAACCGCCCGAAATCGCAGAACGCGTCGTTCCTCATCAGCGGCTCGACGGGCGACGGTTGCTGATTGCCGGTCATCTGACCGCCGTGGAGCGCCATCTCTTGACCGGCATGGACGTCGTTTCCGTTACAACTGCTCGCACCGGGATCGAACGTCAGATTTTTGCACAACTACAACACAAACCGATCGTTCGTTAGACAGTTAAAGGCGCTAGCAAACGGCTCGAAATACTCTTCTCTACCAATTCCCTATCATTTCCTACGCTTCTCTACTCCTTCCCTATCATTCCCGAAACTTCTCTACTCTTCTCTACCCTTCCCTATCATTCCCTACTATTCAGAATCCTTCTCTATCATTCCCTATCCTTCCCTAAACTTCTCTACTCTTCAGAATCCTTCTCTATCATTCCCTAAACTTCTCTACTCTTCAGAATCCTTCCCTATCATTCCCTAAACTTCTCTACTCTTCAGAATCCTTCCCTATCATTCCCTAAACTTCTCTACCCTTCAGAATCCTTCTCTATCATTCCCTAAACTTCTCTACTCTTCAGAATCCTCTATCTTTCCCTACGTTCGAAGGCCAATCGACTCACTTGCGAAGAGATCAACTTGGGCGTCGGACTATCTAATTGAGGCACTGGAGGGGTCTTCAGATCGAACAGATCGTTGGGACTGAGCTTCATGTCCCTGGGAAGCACGTCGGCGGGCGGCGCTTGTTTCGGTTTGACGGGCGGCACGTTCTCGGGACAGAGGAACACGTCGATCTCGCCCGTTTCGCTCTTCATCTGGATCGAGTACTTGTCCTCCGATTCGTCCGTCCTGGACACGGACAGTTGTGTGTTGGGCGGCGCTTTGATCGCCATCACCGTCTTGTAGCGGAAGGTCTCGATCGAGCGGAGGTCTTGGTACGTCACGTAGCCGAACCTATGATAAAAATTATGAAATAAATAGATGTTCGATGATTGCTGTAGTCGAGGTACCTGTCGGTGGTCAATTTGTTCAGTTCGCTCGCCGCCGAATCGATCATTCGATCAAGATCGTTTTCGATTTCTTCGAGGTTCCTTAGGCGTTTGTTCAGCGCCAGGAATTCGGTGCTGTGGCCGTTTGTACCTTTCCACTGGATGTTGTTCTTGGATTTCTTTTCTAATATGCCTATGCCTTCGAGAACGTTCGTGATGTCGTAGATCCTCCTTTTTTGTACCTAAATGCGCAAATTTGTATTACACAGTTTGTGGTACTAGAAATACGATGGTAGGGTGAAAAGTTCTCGGCCTGAGAACTACTTCTAGAACTGTCTACAACCGTTTAAAACACTCCAGAATCGTTTAGAACTGTCTAGAAGCATTTAGAATGATCCAGCACTATTTGGTACTGTCTAGGACACTACTGTCTCCAGATTCATTTAAAACCGTCTAAAACCATATCAAAGTGTCTAGAGCCATTTAGAACTTTCCAGATTCATTCAGAACTGTCTAGTAGAACCATTTAGAACACTTCAAAACCATTTAGAACACTCCAGATTCATTTAAAACTTTCTTAAACCATTTCAAAGTGTCTTGAGCCGTTTAGAACGTTCCAGAACCATTCAGAACTGTCTAATAGAACCATCTAGAACACTTTAAAACCATTTAGAACGCCCCATATTCATTTAAAACCGTCTAAAACCATTTCAAAGTGTCTAGAGCCCTTTAGAACGCTCCAGAACCATTTAGAATGCTCCAGATTCATTTAAAACCATTTCAAAATGTCTAGAGCCCTTCAAAACACTCCAGCACCATTCAGAACTACCTAAAATCACTTAGAACCGTCTTGAATTGTGAATTGAAGATTTCGCATCAATTTATCAACTGAAAATCAGCGAGGCCGAGAACTTCTCATCTTACCCTTGCAGCGCCCGAATAGTTACCTTCAACTCCTGCGAGGCCTTGTTCAAATCGACGACGCCGTTGGGGCTCTTCTCCAACAGCTCGGAGAACTTCTGGGTCAACAGGCTCAGCGATGTGTCGTACCTGGTGTTCTTCTTCGCCGGCGTCGCCGTCGCCCTCTTCGGCTTCTTCGGCGGCGGCGTTTTGAATTCGTTGCCGATCGGCACCACCGACGGTATGATCACGTTCCTCTTCACTATGTCTAAATTAAGTTTTCGTTTAACAGGCGGCGCCTAGCACAGAGAAAACGCTTGTCTTTAGATGCTAGAAAAATGCCGCGTTCGACTAAAATGTTTCTACGGGTGGGGTTTATCTTGTAATCGGGAAGTATTTCGGATTTGATAAATAATGAGGAGAAATGTGTTACCTGCACCGGTGTCGATGCGGACATCAGTTGATTTAAAGGCGTTGCCCCATATCCGTGATCGAGGAGATGGGGACTGGGGGTCATCTCAGTCTTGATGATGCCCATATCCGGTGTGACGTTGGATGGAAGGGTCCTGTAGACGCTTCGAGGGCTCTCAGTGCGCCGGATTGTACGAGGCATGGTGCTCTGATTCTTTGTTGTGAGGTCGGATGGTTTAATTGATTCGTTTTTTGGTCATTTTTGTTTGTTTGTTTGTTTTGAAAATTTGTTAGTTACTACCTAAAAACTAAGAGAAACGAAGTGAGTTTTCATCTCTTGATAGGGTTAATACAAAGATGAAAATATCGGTTGTAAGTAGTAAGAAACTGTAGCCTAATTTTCCAAACGCAAGCCGACAGAACGTGGAATTATTGACATTAATAATTCTTTCATTGTCGAGTTTATATGACCCACATTCGATTTAGTAAACATTGGAACTCAAAATTGGGTAACGGAATTGCATAAAGAATAGTTTATCGTGTTTTTTTTATCACACTTGCCAGAGCTTGGAAATTACATTTTAAATGTAGCACGCGCGAGTCGCTATCGAATAAACAAGCATTTTCTAACCCTACCTGATGATTTCGATATATTATTAACTGAATTATTAACTCAAACTATAACGGTTTTGAATTTAATCAAATTGATAAGCGAGCAGCACTTATACAGACGGCAATTCGACAAATTCCTCGAAATTTGAGTTAATAAATACAAATAGATTTTTATATGTACAGATAAAGCACCATACATGTTTAATTTGGTTAAATTTTAGATAGCCTTGTGGCAGGACACTTTACTATAGGGGGGTTTCTTAATTCAAGCTTAAAGGTTGGTAGAAAAAATAATGAATCCAAAAACGTAGGTACATATTTAGTACAATGAACCTACATTAGAGTTAACGTGCGACAATCGTGGGCCTCTTCAAACAATTTCCCTAAATAAAACACATCAATATTAATTCGTCGCACAAATCGCATTTAAAAAGCCGCGATTTAAGTGTAAATTAACGCGAATTTAGGCCAAAAAACTCGACAGGCATTGCCAAAAGGCATAGCATTTTCGACGGTACTGTATTATTTATCAATCTAAACACATATGTATCAAAGTAAAAATGAATTTATGCATTAGGTATTCGAGACGTGATTTAAATAATTCGTGTAGGATTAAGTTCGTAATTAAAACGCATTTAAATTGTATCCAATTACGACAACAAAGCGATGAAGTAGCGAATTACGAATTAATAAGTTTCTTTGCACGTTCCCGAAGTCGAAAATCAGAGATTAAATTGTATTTTTCTATAAAACGAAAGGAAGTAAAAAACACGAATTTTCTGTAATAAATTTCTCGTTTGTTTTAAATAGCATTCCCACGACAAATATTTATAATAGTATAGATCATAAGAGTTGTAAATTAACAAGTAATATATTTACATTTTTGTGAGGAAGCGGTTTTAATATTAGTTTACTTAAAAACGCTACATGTGAACCCGATAAGATTGTTTGGTTAAATAAGCTATTTCGTTCATAATTTGGAGTTCCCATCGGTTTATTAACGCTTTTAAATATCTCCCCTCTAGTGTTTTAAATGCATAAACTATAATCAAAATTATATTAGTAAATTATCTTATATTATCAAATAGGGTGCTGTGCACATGAGATAACGTGGATTTGAATCATTATCAATCAAAGTGAACGTGAACTTAAGTGCAAATTTTGCATCAAGATTTCCTTTTTGGTTGTGCAAGCGTTAATAAATATTTGAAGACAAATAGTCGCATGAAGTGTATATTTCAAAACGAATAATCAGTAGGTATGTACCAAAATTGAACAAGAGAATGAGTATGAACCAGGAAAATTAACAAAACCCCTTAAATTAAATCGAATTACAGCATTGAAAAGTATCAGGAGATAATAATGAAGTAAGAGGTTAACGAATTTTGGTTTACAAATTCGAATCGCCCTGTATTTAACCATTGCGGTAGGTTAAGGTAACTCAAATTCTCGTTATAAATAACCGATCTTCAAACATCGAATTTTCGCCGAAATTAACGAAACATCGATCGCTTCGAATATCGCAAATAATTGCGTACGTGTACTTACATTATATTTGACGAAATTAACGGCGAGATAACGACTTGAATTTTACGGACGATTCTCAAACATCGACATGTATTATGCACCGCAAGATAAAGGACGGTTTTTAGGTTAGAAGCAATCAGCTGAGCTGTAGTCTCCTCTCACAAAACCCGAATGATCTTGTCGGTTAGGGGAATACAGCCCGAAAAATGCCTAAAATCTCGCGTTAAAACTTCCATTTGTTTTCGAGGTATAATTATTTGTGATTTAAAAATCCGTGATTAAAGCATTGTTTAATATAAAATTGGTGCAAACGTATATTTGCTTTTTGGAAAGAAAATTTGGATAACTTGTAATTTTATAAAGTATAACTGAAAGTATTTGTTTGGAACTTTTCGTAAATTTGGTTCTGATGTTAAAATCGATGCAGTACCAAATTACAGGGATTAAAGAAAATTGTATGAAATAACCTTGGTGGTTCATTTAACTTTGTACTATTGCGCGCTTTAGAAATACTATTTTTACAATACAAAAATGTTTGCAAAAATCGGGGGTTACCACAAAAAAATTCAATAAGGTAGACTGGGGTAAATGTAAAAATGGAGTAAATGTAATATTTTTACCTATTATGTTAATGTTTGTATTATTTTTATAGTTCTTTTGTGCATTAGACAGGGTTTGTTTCTTATTTTTTCTTTATTATTTTGTAGCTGTTATTTTTTGAAATAAATAAATAAACAACATATCAAATTTTAGAGGAACCAAATATTTTTTTACAATTGCCCCATATGTTTTTCTATATAGTTGTATTGCACTTTAACCATGGGATAAATGTAACATATTGTCAAAATTTTAAAAAATATGTAAAATCGTTTTCTACCTTTTTAAAAAAAAACTTTTTAATACCTCGATTCTTTAGTTTAGGAAGTTGTGAATTTAATGTGGTATCAGCATTTCTAATTAGAAAAAAAATAAAACCACATTTCAGGATTTAATTTAAACTATTCAAATTTTACAACCGATTCGCCAAAGTCTACCTTACTCTTTACCAATGAAGTTGAGAGACAAGTTAAAAGAAAAGAAACCCAAACTACCTACCTATCGGTTAATATTTTTAGATCTAAACATGTAGAAAAGAAATCTCTCTGCGTTAGTTCCGACATTACACACAGTAATATAACAGAAATGGTCGTTCCTCGACTTCCTCGGAATCGTTTGGCTTTGACTAGGGTGTGGCTACGCGCCGTCGGCGCTCAACTGCGTTGACAATAACGTTTCCGACGATATTTAGAAGGATGCTCGGCCAATTATTATCCAATTTCATTATCCAAGTTCATTAAAAGATGTAATAAGTGGCTATCGAAAAATGGGATGGGTTCGAATTACCTAACGCAGTGTATTCGAGATTCTTTGCTGGTAACCTTGTTGCTGGGTTTTCGTGTAACTCCTAGGAATAATTGGACTTTGCTTTTATTTATACATATCCAAGCACGAATGTGTATTTAAATAGTTTTTTTTTAAATTACTAATGAACGTATTGCGTGTAGATGGTTTTATAAAAAGTATTATTAAGGGTTGATGTTTTTCAATGGATAAATTAAAAGTTAAAGAGAAATGTTAACCGCCCGAAGGTGCGAAATTATTAATAATCTAAGCGAATAACACCTCTCAGAAAAAAACTATTGTGCGCCCATGGGATAAGTACTATTTTAGTAACAAAGCAGCTTATCAACAATGAAAATTCTTCAGAAGGGCTCTTTCTACCTTAGCTTCTGATAAAAATATTTACCAAATAAGTAATAAACTCCTAAAATTTTACCAGAACCGAGTTTAGAATACTGTATTTGGCTTTTTTTAGGCGTGCAAATTCGGAATTCGTAAACAATTCGAATACTTAATAATATGGCTTAATTATTGCGTAATCCTATCATTTTAGTTACGATGCTCTTTTCGAACAAACAAGAATATATTACTGCATATGACATTGTACACTTCATTGAGCAACAGGTTTAAGTATTTACACAAATCGTGATAAAACGTGGGCAAATTTAAATGCAAGGAAAATTACAGCGAATTTTAGAACTAAAAATTAGGTAGTTTAAAAACTATTTTTATAGGTATTAATATGATTTCCTGATTAAATGCCTATATGAATTATTTAAATGTATAAGAAAAGAAGGGGGTTCTAAAGATAAATTCCAGTGATTCAAAGATGAAAATGCCGGATGTAAGATAGAATTGAATGTGTTTGGGGAATTGGGGTGTGTACCTAAAAGAATTATTTGAATGAAGCGATAAAACTTGCAGATTTCTTGGACTGACGGATTTTTTCAAAGATGGGTTTATAACAGAGGCTTTACAGGTATCTGGGGACTTGGAATAAATTGGGTATATACCTACAATAAGTTTTTGTGGAAAATTTTTGAAAATTTGGTATATTTCTCAAAAATTCTAAGTGAGATTTATTGTCAATATAAAAGGTACAGTTGGAGTTAATTTTCGAAATATTTTCGTTCAAAATGAAGTGGTACCTCCAATATTTGAGGTACCTAATCAGAGATAAACTGTATCAAGTTTAAAAGTATATTTTTTGCAGATTACAATAAATTTAATGGTGTCCCAAGTTTAATTAGTGAACCAAGTCCCTGTAATTCTATTCACCAACTGGGGTCAAAGTTGACAAAATCCAGTACAATCATATTTAAAATCGAATTGCCACCTTATTGTATTTCAATTTACCAATTTTGACCCACATTTAAATTACACTTCACACAATAAATAAAACTCTTAATCGACTGGTGTTAATAAATCTTTAACCTTGATTATACCAAAAAAAATCTACAAATTAATAAATGAAATAATAGTAAATATAATAAGAGGAGAATAATAGCAAATTGAAGCTAGAATAGCTGTATACATTTAGGACTCCTTTAAAGAGATCAAAAACAGCTGTAGCTGAAAAAAAATAATTCTTAGGCACAAGGCCTGGACAAACTAGGTTATTTAGTTACATTTTGCAGAACTCTTATTAAATTATTTCAATTGCATCGAGAAAACCTAGGCCACCTACGATTAGTACTTACGACGCGTGTAAAACTGTCAATTGTGACATTGACAATTCCTTTGACAGACGAGGAATCTATTTAACAACCAAATCAAGCCTACTGTGGTTAGAAAACAAAAATATCAACCAAACCACTGATTATTTTCAGTGCCTTTGCACCAATGAGTCATGATAATTTAACGTCGTTTGGAAGTAAAATTTTAAGGTTATATGGTACAAGCTGGTAGATCGGAACCCCCTGCATCGAACAGGCCGGAGCCAATTTTGCAGGAAATCGACGATTTGAACTTACCATCAAAGTTCACAATTCGTCTATCACAAAACATGTGCGAATAATAAATGTGCTTTATAATAAATACGCAACGTGTATAGGATGTGTTAACCTCAAACACATGGAATCCTAGGCGATTTATCGCCGATTCGGGGACAATTACCGGATCTAATGGTCGAAATAATGTTGTTGTGTCGACAATTAGGTAAAAAAAGGTCTAATGGATCGATTACCGGGTCGTGATTAGCTATTTTTCGCTCTACCTACATAAACCCGTTTACGATACCTAATCTCTGGTAATTTGTACTAATTTAAGTTTACGAGATAAACGAAAGTTCATTTATTCGAGTAATTCGATGCAAAAGGTCTTATCGGCAGGATTTACACGAATAAACAAGTAAATAACAGCGTTAGGATAGGGCAGATTGATCTGAAACCGTTGGAATTCTACGCCGGAATATTTAGGGGAGGGATGCATAATTTATACCCTCGACGGGTAAACTTAACGGCTCCTAACGTATTTCTGTTAATAATTAACGCAAAACCGATGCAATAACTCATTAATAATGTGTAATTTATAGCGAAAAACGAGGATATTCGATAGGTAACCCTACCCTGACCGCCATAATTCCAGCGACTGGGCATTTAAATTTACTGGCGAAAAACCCCCGCGGGCTTACCTTTACGACTGGCGTCGATCCACCGAGATGCACTGCACTAAATTTTAACCAAAGGTTAAGTTAGATTTAGATAACACAAAGAAAAAAACTACATATTCCCGTTTGCTAAACAAAATGGTTTCCGAACCGTGAAGTTTGGTAAACGGCAGAGTGTGCGAGAGAACACTGGCCAAAGCGACATTGAGGCTAACTAAAAAACGGGGATTTTTCGGTATTCATAATCCGGAAAGATCGGGCTTTCGATCGGCGCGGTTTTTCCGTCGGTGCGACTCGCGGTTCGGCCGGGAAAAATTAACGAAAATCGAGCGAAAACAGCCCTGCCGTGTACACTTTGCTGGTTACAAAACATCAGAAGTCAGAACATCTGCCATCTGTGCCCAGCATTGGCGCGAATTGGAGCGCCTGCGCAACGTAGACATCTCTTTAACAACGTTGCCACGTTGTACGATAAATCCTTTTAACCCGATATATTTTGTTACTAACCAAATCGACTTTCTACCACCAATTAACACTCGTTTAACAACTAAATACAGAAATACACTTCTTACTATAGCAAAAAATCAATTTCTACCATCAAAATTATAATAAAAAATAAAACCAACATATTAAATTTATGACTTTAGACAAATTCTACCTAACATTTAGCATACAACAAACTACTTATTAGCAGAAAACTTAATAAAAGTCTAAATAATAATAAAAATATAAAGATAGATTGATTTTAATAATTAGAAATACATGAATACAAACCGCCAACAATGTCCGTGTCAAGGTCGATGTAGGTCGATTTTGGCGATACGTGAAAGTGCATTCTAGCATCACGATGATATAACGCACGTTAAATTCGCTTTTCGATTCATCACAAGCCAAAAAAACCCGACGAAACGCAAACGAATCCCTCAGAAAACCGACGTTAGCGAGTCTCGGATCGACATCGGCAACGTCGCACTTCGTCCAGATGATCCTGAAAATTTTATCCTGTCTACCTGGACCAACGGAACCTTTATCGGCGACAATGACCTTTATTGGCGACACCCGATTCGATTTCGGGCCGTTGGCGTTACGTAAAAACCGAAAAATTTGCGATAATTTCGTTAAAAATTATTAACCTCAACTGACAGATCCGCGGCGAGGAATGTAAACAAACGGGTAGTGGCTACTCGACCAGCGCGCATTCTGACAGTTAAATAACGTTTATGTAACAACTTTTTATCTAAAAACTAGCTAATATTGTTAGTAATGTACTTTTAAACGCCACTTTAATTAGATTTAATGATAGTAATAAACGTTTGAGGGTTTCTTGAGTGGTTATGTCAAAAATTGCGTTGACATTTCAATGACAGCCATAGCCTACTAATAACTCTCACTTAATAATACTCGTGCGTAATGTCAAAAGTCAAAATTATAAATCGATTTGTTATAAATATTCCTACTCTCATTGCTCTGTAATTACAGGTAGACATACAAGATCGTAATCTAGTATTTGATAGGAATACGGGAAAAGATCTGTATGAAGTATACGAGTCTCGTTAATTAAACGTAGGAAATTAAGTCGGTTGGGTAGCCACCGCTAAACAATGGAAATAATGGTAACGAGTGGGGTACGGAGAGAAGACCGACTGGTTGCCGGTGAGGGGGCAACGGCGCTAACGAATAAACGAATCGGCCTTAAACAGCCCTTATGTCACCTACCGGCGAGGCCAGTGACGTCTCGAAAACAATACAATAACGTCTCCAACGTCCCATTTCGTTTATGTTTATGTTTTATGTTTGCACGCGTGTAGGTATGACTTGTACGCAGGAAATGATTTAACGTTTGCGATACTGGAAAAAGTGGGTTACCGAAATGTTAATGGGTGTTTTCAATAAAGCGAAGAGTCGCGTGGACGATTGTTTACGTGCGTTATCGTTAATGAAACTGGTTAAAAAATGACGAAACGCCGCGATAAGTCCGATGTTTTTTTCTTGGTAAAATCGAGGTAGAAGAATTCGTCGTAGTCGATAATAAATCGTATACGAATGAGATGCGAAGAGAATAAGAAACATATTTCAGCGTTTGGGTAATTCGATACCTCTGATATTCGATACTTGCAAAGATTGCACCATGTTTGATCAAACTAGCATAAAGCAAACATATAATAGTTACAAAAAAAGACACCAATTTTCTCCAATCTCAAACCAACAAATCTACCAAAAATTCAAATCTGCGCCACTGTAAGAGGGAGTCACCATCACCATTAACATACCTCCTTGTGTATTGGTCCTGTTGGTCCTCTGAATGACTTAAAGAACGAAGGATGAAGGGCAAAGTAAAATGTTGCATGCCGATCTACGACGTAATCGAGTCCGTTACATTTTTTTAATGCAGAAGCGGGCCCGGTAATGACGGTTTGCAGTTGCACAAAGCCGGGTACACGTGCAAGGGTGGGTTACTTGAGGTTAATAAAGAAAGGGCTAAAGATGTTTTATTTTTCCTCGATATCGGGGCTATTCTATAGTAAAGTAGTAGTAATTGGAGATGGAATAGGTCTCAACTTATTTGACTCAATTAATACTCTATACAATTGTATATCAGGAAGTTACCTAATAGTGTGCTAAAAATTGGCTTTAAAAAAACTAGAAGTTTCATTGCAATGAGGTAGCTCAGAACTTGATCTGTATGCTGTATCCATTTGCCACCTGAATTACAAACTCAAATTTAATTCAGGTAAATTCAGCTCGTGTTCTGCATGCTGTTAAAGCTAACTTGCTAGTTTCAACATCAGGTGGCGCCATGTTCTAAATATCCCTTGGGTTCAATGAGGTATCCCGCAGAACATGCATAAACAAGAAGGGACATCGTGGAAATTCTGTAGAACACAGAACGAGTATTTAGCGTTCAATTAGTAATCTCTAATTGCGATGTAATGTACACGATGATGGATAGTTAAAGGTAGATTCTATCAAAAAATTTCTATATTGCATCGATATCGAGAAAATTTAAAATCACTACAACAATTTCTAATAAAACAATCGTTACTAAAACAACTACAATTAAATCAAAGATCACATTTTATAAAAAAATCAACTTTGTCACTAATAAAAAACATAAATGTTAACGAACTGATCAACTGGTAGGTGGTTTCTGTTGCATATTTTCAACTTTATTTACAAACTGCACGACATCATCGGCGTATAATTGGGGTTCTTCAAACGCTGCAAAATGACCTCCTTCAATCACGGTGTAATGAATCAGATTAGGGTATTTATCCTTCAATATCGATTCCGGGAAAAAGATCATTTCGTTGGTGAAGGCGGCGCAACCAGCAAGCACTTCCGTTGGCATACTGAAAGGTAAAATAAGTTTCAATTCAAGCCAGAATAGCTAAAACCTGAAGAAATACTAACTAATCAACCATCAGCGCATAAGAGGCCTTGTTGAAGGTTTCCGCGTACACTCTCAGAGATGTCGTCATAGATCTGGTCACCCAGTAGATCATCACGTTGTCGAGTATATCCTCCATTTTGAATTTTTTAGTTAATCCTCCGTCTTCCAAGCCCTTCCACTTGGGATCCGTCCACGAGGTGAATTTCTCTATAATGTAGGCAGCTAAACCGGCAGGACTTTCTCGTAAAGCCACTCCTGAGGTAATAAAATGTACATAAATAGGTACTCAATTTGTACTACTTATTTACCTATAGTATCAGGTTTAGTGGCTTGAATGTGCAAATACCCAAGTTCCAAATTCAAGTCCATCATTTTCTCCATTCTGGGAAAGACCAAATGCTGGTACTTTTCTTCCACCGCCAGCGACGGGAAATAGGACATAGCGGCTAGCTTCAACATGGATTTTACACCGTTAGCAACGCAGAAATTGGAATGCATCGCGATGATCTTCTCCGGGAACAGCACGCTCATGCAGTGCGCGATAATTCCACCCCAATCTCCCCCTTGAACGTAGTACTTGTCGAAGCCTAAGCGACCCATCAGGTTCTTCATGACCACCGCCATTTCGTGTATGCTCAGCCCAGGCACTTCGGCGGCCTCGGAGAATCCGAAACCTAAAACACAGCGAAACGTTTCAATAAAAACGAACCTGCAAGGACAACTATTAATAGGTTTAATGCATGTAGTCAGGCGGAGTTTAATCCATTTGATTTCGTGACCTCCACTAGATCATTACCTGCTTCGGATTAGATTGAATTATTGCAGTTTTACTTCGAGGTAAGTAGAAGATGGAAAAAAATAGTACCTGGTAGGCTCGGTACGATCAATTCGAACGCGAATTTCTGCCCTTTCTTCGGGGCGCTTAAAATCGGTATGGCTTCGTAGAATTCCCTGACGGATCCAGGCCATCCGTGCAGCAACAACAAAGGTACGACTTTAACGCCGGCGGTCTTCGCGGGTTTCACGCGGATGAAATGGATGTCCAATCCTTGGATGTTGGTCTTGAATTGGGGATATTTGTTCAACAGCTTCTCGCGCTGCTTCCAGTCGTATTTGGTCTTCCAGAAATCCACGATGTCGGCGATGAGCTTGTCGTTCATGCCGTAGTGCTGCGCGGTGCCTTCCAGGGATCTCTGGAAAGGCATCGTTTTGTCCAAGCGATATTTCAGATCATCCAGAATCTATAGAAAAAAAATCGGAGTAATAGGATTCGATGAGTCGTAGATAATTTCTTCAATTCGTATAGTCATTGTAGAAGCGATGATAAGAATTTCAACATATTATTCTTCGATGACTGGATGATTGTTATCTTATTTATCTGTTACAAGCAGTTTGTGAATGAGTTGCAAGTTTATCGAAGTTGCGCTTACACTATCATTAGGAAGTTATCGTAATATAGTTGCATAATTACTATGACTATGACATAATTTCAATGATTGTTTAATTACAGCGAAAAAAAGCATTCTAAATATAGAAAAACTAATAAGCCCAAACGTACCAAATTAAGTACAGTTAATCGGTACCAATTAAACAAAAAATTACAACAACAACGAAACAATCCGATAAAGGAATTAAAAAGAAATCAAGGTTTGTATACCAAGCGATTTTTTTACACATACCTGATCGGATACTTGGATTTTGAACGGCCGGATGGTCGTATCGACTTTGCCCGGCTTCGAAGCCTTCCACCATTTCTCGCCCAAATCGGGCTTCTCCGGGAACTCCAGCAGGGGCTTGATCTTCACGTAGGAATACCCCACGAAGATGGCCATCAAGACCGCCGTGACCACGCCGCAAGTACCCATTATTTCCAATTTCCACGGAACGTTTCTAACTTATCTACAGTCACCGCAAACCGACCGAGATCGACTAGGACTGGGCAAGGTGTCTACAGTACAGCTCGACTCGGAACGCGAATTGTTTGTTTTTATAATTTTCGATATCAAAGGTCACGGTTGAAAGCGAATAAAGTGCAAACGAGCGGCGCGTTGCCTGCCTGAATTTAATCAAAAATGATACCGGTGGATTATTATAGAAGCTCTGATAACTTCGAGTAGTATGAAATTCCATTCTAGCAAGTTTGTTTATGTAACACAACAATACATATTCATCGAGATCGATAAGGATTTATTAAGCAATTCGATAATGTACAGACCGATAAGAATAGCAGTAGACGTTGTGACGTAATGCGCGGTGGGTTTAAAACTCCCTCTGCGGCTATTTCAGTTGCTTTCTAAGCTTGAGTGGTGAAATTTGGATCTACTTTCCTCGACTATTCGGATGAATTCGCCGATATCTCGGGCCAGGACTTCCGGTGCTTCGTATTGCGCGAAATGGCCGGCGTTTTCGTGCGTTCGCAAACTGATTAAATTCTTGTATCGACTTTTTCGTAAACTGAAAATTTGGAAATTTTTGTTTATCAGTAAAGTTTTCATCGCCTTCTCAGCTTCGAGGTATAAGTAGGTGGCGATAGATGGCGCTTTTGTCGCATTTTTAGGAGCTACTTTTATGAACGTGTAATAAATCTACCTGTCTATGCTCAAGGAGAGGTCAAGTTGATTGAAATACTCTTTGTACAATCGCAGGGAAGTCGTAATCGAACCGGTTATCCAATAAATCATTATATTATCGAGTATTTTGTTTAAATCGTATTTCGATATCCCTCCGTCATCCAGATTCCTCCAAGCTGGATTACTCCACGTGGAAAATTTCTCTGTAATATAAGCCGCTAAACCTATCGGATTGTCTCTTAAAGCTATACCTAGAAATACACAATTAATTACTAAAAATAAATATTTGCACCTACAAAATGTACCAATAGTATCTGGTTTAGTGGCTTGAAGATGCAAATAACCGCTCTTTTGCACCTACAAAATGTACCAATAGTATCTGGTTTAGTGGCTTGAAGATGCAAATAACCGCTCTCTTGGACAAAAAACTCAACCTTATCAACCAAAGGATACACCAAATGTTCGTATTTTCCATCGAGTATTAGTGAAGGAAAGGCGCTAAACAGGACGAGTCTCGCGTAAGCCGAGGGCACGTTTAACCAGCAAACGCTGGAATGGACTCCGGTTATTTTTTCTGGATAGAGAGCAGCCATATGGGAGGCGATGAAAGCGCCCCAATCGACTCCGTGAATGTAATATTTTTCGATATTGAGGCGAGACATTAAATTTTTTAGTATTACCGCCATTTGTGGTGTACTGAGTCCTGGAAGTTCGGGGGCTTCGGAAAATCCGTATCCTGAAATCGAAAAATTAGTAAAAATATTCTAATAAAAATATACAGGGTGCTATAATTAGAGGTCAAATAAGAGAGGTCCTTCTATAATAACCCTGTATAATTGGACCTGGTAATTGGAGTTTCAAAATTATACACTAAGATACTAAAATTACAAACTCATTATTAGTGTAACAGCAAATGTGATAATAACAAAATTGTTCCATCCTATCGATGACAAAATTACTGGAATTAGAAAATTTCCTCTCTCAAACTATTCATCAAAATATTTCATAAATATGGCAATGCAATTAATACTAGATAATAGAGTCATTATACGAAAAAACCTTCGGATTACAAATTTTCTTATCAAAATATGTGTTCATTTACCAGGCAAACTTGGCACAATAATTTCAAAACTAAACTTCCGCCCATCATCAGGGACTTCTAGTAAAGATATTAATTCATAAAAATCTCTAATCGATCCGGGCCAACCATGCAGCAACAGCAAAGTTACAACTTTATTATTGTCTTCACATTTCGAAGATTTCACGTGAATGTAATGGATATCGAGCCCTTGGATGTTGGTAAAGTATTGCGGGTATTTATTCAAGAAAACCTCCCGTTCCCTCCAACGATATTGTTTCTTCCAGAAATCGATAACGGTGTTCAAAAGCACCTCGTTTATTCCATAATTTTGATCGAAAGTTAGCGATTTTTCGAAAGGTAAAGCGTTCTGTAAACGCTCTTTAAGATCGTTTAAAGTCTGAAAAAAATTCTCTAATTAATCAGCAATTTTTATTAACATTGCTAAATTGGTTTACCTCATTAGAAACATTTATTTTAAACGGTTTTATAACAGTATCTTCAACTAGAGGTTTAGTTAATTTCCACCAAGTTTCTTCTACTTGTACATTCTTGTTAAAATCCACAACAGTTTTTACATACAAAAATACAAAAACCACTACTAATACAACCAAACTTAATAACTTCCACATAATGTGTGGCAAATTTTATCGCTTCAAATCATTTATACCGAATAATATATAATTTAATCTCGACATCAACACGCAACATCGAAGATAATAACAAACACCATTAACCCCATTATCGCTTCCTTACCTTACTACTCGCGATCGCATCTAAATCTCCCATCTGGAACTCGTCCAGACCATCGGACATTCCACAAATTGTCGTCCGACATTTTCCCAGCCTACATCTCCATACTCTCCCCGTTTACAAGTTCAATCGCATATTCATGAGGCCCGTCATTCCAGAAACTCCGGAAAGAAAGTGGTAAGAAAGCGATCGTTCTCGATCTCCTCCGAAGCGATCCTTCGGCTTTCGAATGCAGATAAACACCGAATCTATGGCGTCTCGCTTGAATATAGATCGCGTAAATGGTAATTTATCCATTAATATCGCGATTATCGCCCGTGGGAGGCTCCTGCAAACCCATCAGGAGGATCATTCGGAAGAATCGGTGTAATTGTTTGGGGTAGAGATTCGATGGGGGTTGGAAATGTTCGGGGGTTACGCCGCTGGTCCGAATGCGGATAAACGAAAACGGGTCGCAATGAAATATTCGGCGAGTTTGGAGTTTGCATATATTTCGGCAGGATGGGGAGGAACGAGATTGGTTTCGGGCGTACGAGGCGCAAACGATGGCGATAGTTAGAACCCTAATTTAGGACTAACCTGTTGAAGAAACTCTAATAAATTTCTAATTTCACCTTTTCCGTTCGGCGCTGTTGCTTTTAGCCTATCGCCAGATTTGGGATTCAGGAGGCTCCTAAAGGAGGTTTTCGTTTACCAATAACGAAGCCAGGAATTCACAGGTTTAATTATATCCAAGTAAAATTTAGTATTCAACAGTCTAAATATGGACCAATACTGGTCTTAAAAAATCACCTTTTACCTTAATAATTTAGGATTATCTTCTACTTTGTTTCATCCTAAATCCCTTATCCTTGACTGTATTCACTATCCCCAATCCTTCTAAACTCTGCATTTATCTACAAAGGACTTTTAACAGGTTTAATTGTCCTTCCTATTAATACATTTTCAGTAATACCTTCAACTGTATCTGCTTCTTCAATTGCATCGTCTCTCCATGTTTGATCTAATTATCATTTTGGCTGGATGATGGAACGAATGAGGGTATTTTTCAACGGACTCGCATTAATATCTCATTAGGAAAACTAGCGGTATTATTTTTGCCGGCTCGCCGGAATATCGTGTGGGGGCGGTGGATGGTAGATGGAAAGTCAACATGGCGCCGTAACCTTTAATTAATTCTATTCATTCTCTTATCCCGAGTGTCATCAGCATAATTCAAGTTTATCCACTTAAGTGAATTTCTGGAAGGGCTACACAAACATCTTTTTGGAGCGCTGGTGGGGCGCTGGAAAAAACAGAGTTGGGTCTCGATTGTACTATTTTTAACAGCACGAAGTAGTACTTTGATAATAATAATTTTATTGAACAGTTTTTGGGTTAATTAAACTCCTTCGTATCGAGTACAATGCTTCGTTAAAGTATACAGATGTTAAAATTAAATTCGTTTGTAATAATAATTCCGGGCGGTGCTCGAATCTTACAGGGCTTCGAGGAGGGTCCAATTAAATCACCAACAGCATTTATGGTTGATTCATATTCATCAATTAATGTTTAAATTAACGCCCGGGGGCGCCCTTCGCCTTTAATCCGAACCTGTTATCACTCCCTTTGCCCCGACGGCCGCAAATCCGGGCCCTATTAGCATACGTCACATTTTTTCCGGAATCATCCTCCCAAAAAATTCCAGTTATTACAATTCCGGCTGTGTAAACGGCCCATTCCTGGCAGAGCAAAAAAGATTTGTTAACGCTAAATTATCCTCAAAATTTGAGCGTTTTTTAGCTCGAGTTATTCCTGTACTACGCTCCTCGATAATTACATGAATCCTCTATCATTAAGTCTCCTCGTTAACAAGCATTAAAGCCTCTTTTCTTCCGTCCCCTCGATCAAAGACATTGTCCCAAATCATCCCCTATTCTTACTCTATTTAATCTTATTACTCCGACGGTGCTCTTCGGATAGTTCATTGTCGAGAAACACACATAGTGCGGTGAATAATTTTCTTTTCATCTCAAAGGGAACATTTTACTATTACTTCGAGTATCGTTTTCTAGGCGGCCGTTTGTTTGCTCCCGCCAATCAGCCGGAGCTCCGGCTGTCACATGTCATTGTCACATGTCATTGATTAGCGTACACACGCACGCTAGATTGATATCAGATTTCCCGGATAAATGGACGTCGGACGCGTTGTTCTTTTGTTTAACCGACTCCGGAACAATCAGAAGGCTGATAATGGACGTAATTGATTGCTGTTTTTGTCGATAATTAATTATAGTTGGGGGTTTCCGCGCCGCCGTCGAATAAAACGGTGGAAGGGAAAAAATGGGGTGTTATCGGTGTAATGTTTTTTGCACCTAGAAAACGTAGAGGGTCGTTATAATTTTTTTTTGGGGACATTCTGTATCGCGTTCGGGTAATTTTATTAGTTCTACCTGCTTATCCGAGGCGTATAAATGATGAATCGGAAATATCGAGTGAATCTTCCGGGTCTTTCCGCTTTTATTTCGACGGTAATTCATCAAAAACGAACAATAAACGGGGGAGACGACAAATTTTGATAGATGTCCCAACCTTTCAGCTCGCCCCGATTCCGCTGACTGAAAGTAATTATTCAAAAAGGTCGCTCAAAGCAACGGTAAAAGTACGAATTGACACTTTACTAAGTTATGGTGTTTGCTAATTTTCCTACGGCTCGTTTATTTTCTAAATACAGGCCGAATGCAGAGATTTTGTTATATTGTCGAAATTTTTAACTGCTTCTTCAACATAAACAATTCACTCTGTTGGGTATTAATGACTTTCTTACTCTCTCAACTTGAGAGTAAGAGTCTCAACTGACTCCTTTAGATAGATAATTGATTATATTGTCGATATTTTTAACAACTTCTTCAACATAAATTATTCTTTTGGCTCCCTTAGACAATTCGCTCTGTTGAGTATTAATAACTCTCTTACTCTCTCAACTTGAGAATAAGAGTCTCAACTGACTCCTTTAGATAGATAATTGATTATATTGTCGATATTTTTAACAACTTCTTTAACATAAATTATTCTTTTGACTCCCTTAGACAATTTGCTCTGTTGAGTATTAATCACTCTCTTACTCTCTCAACTTGAGAATAAGAGTCTCAACTGACTCCTTTAGATAGACAATTGACTCTCTCGAATACACTTCAGAGTAGATACACCAAACAAACGACTCTTCAATCTCTTGGTTCTTTTGAAGACCAAAATCCAGATTCCTCCATACACCGGATCCAATAAAACACACAATCAAAAATACAAAAAAAAAAATCCCCATTAACCATAACCGACAAACACCTGCAACACCATACACCACACCGACAACTCCCCCATTAAAACCACCCAAACCCGATCCAGACCGGTGCATCATCTTCCTAACAGCACACTAACTGTTGATGAACACCGAGACCATCAACCTGTCCAAGGTCAAGCATCGCCCGCTCCCCGTCTCTCCCGCCTCCGCCGCCCCACATACAGCACATCCATCCCGTCGCCGGTTCATCTCGGACCGCTTCTGGATCGCTCGGCGTATCCGGCCTCCGGGCTCGCGGGCGCACAGCCACAGAAAGAGCTGGATGCCGGGACCTGCGCGTCTCTCCGCCGGCGTCCGCAGTGGATACACGGCAGCCGCCAGGGAAGCGTCTGCGAGTCGTTTTCGGTGCTATCTGTGCAGTGCGGGCGCTCAGACAATTCTCCAAAAAAAACCAGTAGATTTGCTCCGGAGGAGAGATCCGGTCGGGTCGGTTCGCGGGATTTTCCGGCTCGATTCGCTGGAGGTGCAGGTGTTCACGGTATGTTGTTTTGTTGATCTTTTATTGCTCGCGCAGATCGCTCTTGCGATGCAATCTGGTGCACGAGGAATCGGGTTTTGTATGTAGAGGAATTACGCTCGAGGGATTGCAAGTAATCCGCGTGCAGAATACACCGAATTGAAAGTATCGAACGGTTAGCATTACCTCCAATCGACTGCTGTTTGGGTTAATTTTTGCCGGTAAGTCGAAACTGGAGATTCTCCCCGAGCATTCGCTCGGAAAGAAGGGCTTTCGGAGCAACAAGCTGTGTTACTTCTCTGCTGGTTTCTACGCGGAATCGGAATTTAATGGGTTCCAAAACGACTGGTGTATTTAGCATTAAAAATATATAACCGATCGGAATTTTTTATCGACTTCGAAGGGCTGGTTGTGTATGCAAAACCGGGAGAAATTGGAGATGTAACTTATAATGTAATGCCGTTCGGAATTATTTATTACTGCGGACGAAACTGACGAAGAATTTTCTCGCGGAAACTTCCTCTGTATTCAATCGAACACTCATGTAAAATCGAGAGGTAAAAACTGATGAAAGATTCAAATTCCTGTTGCTAAGAAGCGTTTAGTTAAATTGCACTAACTCTTATAATTACATTACGAAACGTGAGGAAGTTGTGATAAATTCAGGGAATTTCTTGTAATTAATGAAAGGAAACCACGTACTGCGAAAATATCTGAAGATGCAGTAGAATTGTTCTAAACTAAATCGATTCAAGATGAGAATCCACTGTTAAAAAACCAGTTACAATCACTCAACACCATCCAAATCTTGAGGACATAAACCTGAGCAGAAAAAAATAACCCATAAAAAAATTCATTGCAGTAATATTTTCCGGGCGAGTCGCGCATTTTAAACTTTAACCCTCTAACTAATTAGGCAAAAGGGTTAGGCATCCCTCGAGCGGCGTTTCGTCCGCTTTTATCGCGACTTTATCTGCGAGTATGGGTTCCCCCAGCTCCGGTAAAATCCGCAGCAGCGCGATTGTACATTACATTGGCCTTTTCCTTGGGATTCCAACGCGCAAGGGGCGCTCAAATTGGCGAAAAATCGCCTTCCCCAACGCCCGGGAAGG